ACCCTAGTCCTAAAGTATCTCATAATTGAATGCCCAACCTCCCTTCCTCCCAAATTAACACAGTAAAGTGGGAAAAAAAGGAAACCTAAAAACAAGCAAGAATTTAATAGAAACCCAAAAGATCTGAGCTTCTGACATTATGTATGCATTTATGCTATAATTACCATCAGTATATGCTATATGCTGAGTATTAGAATATATGGAAATATAATTATGTGACAATTTTAGCTTTAGATTTTATGGAATTAATAATCTAAGCATGGCATTTCTTTTACAATGATTTGTTCAGATATGTTGTGATTGAAAGATTTCAAAGTCTGGCTAAACTCCTAAAACATTTTGCAGGGAAATTGATCCATTTGTTCAGAAAATATTTATTAAGCAAGTACCACATTCTGACTGAGATAGACTTAAGTTTCCCCTCAGCCTGACTAAACTTTAGACAGATTTCTTTCTGACCATAGGCTTCTGATCTTTTTTTTCATGGAGCATTTACTTTAAAAAACTTCCAACTGTAAATTCTTTCTCTGCCCCTTTATATGAAAACATTCTCCCACCTTTTGCCAGTTTTACAACCCAGGATGTCTTTCTCAAGAACTTGACAGCCATCTCTTTGATACATCATCATCAAAAAATAAGGCATCTCTAAAAAACAGAATATTTGCAACTCAGAAATAACCTTGTAAACAGTGAAGAGCCTGTTTTACTCCAAAGAAGAATCTAAAGTTTGAGTTAAAAAAAAAATTGCATCCCTATCTTTGAGTCTTGGTAGGAAGGTAGGAGCATAATTTTGATAAGTGCCAATTAGTAGACACACATGGCCTGATCACATTAACCACCTTCCTCCCTAACATTATCCAGTACTTTTCCTCTAGCATGACCCATTGACAATTCCAAATCCTATATTAGTGGGGAATAAAAATAAGACATGATTGGGATAGGTGTTGTCCTTGCCCTCAATGACATTATGAATTATTAATGTCATAAAAATTACTTGAATGTAAAGGCAGTTTCAAGGGAAGCATCAAATGTATATCAGAGATACAATTTAATTCACATTTGAATTTATCTGTAACCTTGGGCATTCTAGAGGTCCTTCAGATTGATGATGGTTACCTCGAAGTTTCTGGATCAGAACAATCCCAAATTTATATTCAAAACCAGGTTTACATGCAGGATGAATAATAGTGTTTTTGAAGAGTAATAAAATGGTATTTTACTTAGAAATATATCTTCTCCAACAGGGTTAGAGGATGACTGAAATCCTATATGTAGACATGTTATTTTGTATTAACAGTTACCTTTTATTTCACTTCTTTTCAAATATGATAAATAAATAGTTAATATCTTAGTATGATATAATACATCGTATAGTCCTCCTTTGCAACATGAGAGAGCCAGGTTATCACAGGAACTTTGGGAAGTTAGGCTAGAGAGGAGTAGAGGGAGGAGAATGCTCAGAGTGCAGGTCTTGAAGGATTTTGGCAGAACTAAAGTGTTGTTGTGGTTACATTAAATAATTCATGTAAAATGGATACTCATAGAAATCAAATACATTAACATTATTTGTAAAATTAGAGAATGACTATGGTAAAAAAAATGATTGATTTGGGGTCAGAACTAAAGCTTCCAAAAATACATGGTTGATGTGCTATTTATCTTGTTTTTGCTTAGGTATATCAGGTTCTTAACATCTATTGGGACAAATGTGTTTGGCTTCTCTCAATATAGCTACTACATATTTTCCTTTCTGTTTTTCTCCTCTTTCTCCCTTAATCTCTATCCAACTTTTCTTCCAAAATTGAAATATTTCTGTGTATATGTTCATATGAACATTTTTTAAACTTCAGTGAGGTATAATGGACAAAGTCATAATATATCTGAAGTACTTAAAGTGATGATTTGATATATGTGAAAGGATATTTGATATTGTGAAAGGATTCCCATAATCTACTAAACTAATTCACCTACCACTTCACATATTTGCCTTATTTTTTAAGATTCCACATGTAAGTTTATAAGTGCTACTATGATGTAGTATTTGTCTTTCTTTGTCTGACTTATTTCATTTAGCACAATACTCTCCAGATTCATCCATGTTGTCACAAATGGCAAGATTTCCTTCTTTATCAAGGCTGAGCAATATCCCACTGTATTTATATGTGTGTTTGTGTGCATCTGTGTGTGTGTATAAAATACCATTTTTTCACATATATATATGTATACATACATATGTATAATTTTTTAAACAATTCACTCATTATTAGACATTTAGGTTATTTCCACACCTTGGTTATTAAGAATAATGCTG